CTCTCCTTTATTTTGTGAGTGTAGGAGATTAATCTTTTCTCATGTAACATAGAAAAGATTATCCCATTATTTAATGGGGAAAGATATTGTGACAACCAAGTTGTGTTACTACCAAGTGACTACCAATCAATCTTACCGTTAGATCGATTATATTGATCCAACGGTTATATTTATTTCCATCTTCGTATGATCATGATTCCCCAAATTTAATACTTTATATTTATTTTCACCTTTGTATGTTATGATTTCCCATATTTAATGCTTTCACTTTAAATATGGGGAATCATGACCATACAAAGATGGAAATTGTAACACTCCGTGTATACCCGGTTGTTAACATTACATCGTATTAAGCTGCGCTTAATAAAAATTGCGGAATATCTTTTTCTTTTCCAATTATGACGTCATATACTTAGCCAAGTTGATTACTTAATCAATTTCATAAAATATCGCATGTATGTAAATTGCAATAAGACGTCTACTGAAATACCTCAATATATAAATAAAGTGTGTATCTAAAATCATGGATCTACAACTCGTAGACTGGATCATAATCCTGATACATTATTACAACTCCAAATAAAACAAGACATAAACAAGACTATGTGTCATGGACAATCTCCATGCTCACCAAATCAACAACGTCTCAACAAGATGATATACAATCATAAACTGAAGCTAAAAGCATAAAGCAGCATGCTTAACCACCATCCAACAAGTCAGCATAATATAACAGCAATATCTAACTCAGCTCCGGCCTCTTGCCGCCTGAGGTCTCAACCCCAACATTTACATGAACCTGAAATAAGCGCCCCAAACGTGGGGTGAGATCTCTAACAGAAATCTCAGTAAGACAATGGGTCCTCAAGGATCTTCCACTCCAAGCTCACTTACATGTGCAATATAAGTTCAAAAGCAATTTAACAATATAATTTCCAAAATAGTGCAATGCAACAGATAATCATGTCATGTGGGTTATAACTATTCTACTGATCAGAGAAACGCAGGAATACGTCTATTACCCACACAGTACCAGCCCATGTTGTATCAGCTCATGCTGTACCCACCCCCAAAGGGCCACCCCATGGTTTCCCTTTAAGGCAAACACCACATAAATATCATACAACAATTGCACTTAACAGCTCCATAGCATTTCAATAAAACAGTACATGAAGACAACATCATGCATATAACCATACCCCCATGGGACATGGTGGAACCACAACATGGCTAAACCGAGGACACGAAAGCTTACCTTGCAAGCTCACTTTCCAATGCCAAGAGTCCACACGACTCAAGTCCAACACACAGTAGATCACAATATGATATAGACCAATAATAAATCAATAAACATGCACTACAAGCATAAATATGAAGACTTGGAGGTTTCTCATGCAAAGGTGACCAAGGAGAAGGGCGGAAACAACCAAGCTCTCAAAATGTCACGTAGGAGGCACCATTTCTGACTTAGAAATGTGTGCCATGGCCTTATATAGGCCCACTTAAGAATGAACGCGCAGTATTAACTTTAATTGCTATGCTTAGTATTTTAATCTCAAACTCAGGATTCCTAACCTACTCAATTTTACATGAATTATCATATTTTTCTTATATTTTTCGGAGCACCTTTCCGGTACGCGCTTTTCATAGCCAGTACCAGTTTTCGGCACCAGTTCTCATCATTTAGACTTGAAACTCGTTTTACAAGTCCTACATATTATTCTAGTAATTATCACGAACTTATTATAATTTTCCGAGATACTTTTGCGGTACGCATTTATACCGACTAGCAGAACCGGTATCTGCACATTTCTTCCGAAAAGCGACTTTCAGCATTCTTACTCACTAATTATAATTATTAAAGCCTCATAATAATTATTAGGGTCAATTATAGAATTATTTCCTAATTTCACATAATTAATTAATTAAATCCCTTAATTAACGGTGCGGGTTCTTACAGAAATAAATATAACCGTTGGATCAACATAATCGATCTAACGGTGAGATTGATTGGTAGTCACTTGGTAGTAATACAACTTGGTTGTCACAATATCCTTCCCCTTATTTAATACGCAAAAGTACTGAAAATATATAATACAAATTTTATTATAATACCCTTCGTTTTGTAAATTATTTATTTTGCATTAAAAAGTATATAAGATAATATTTTAATATTATTTAACTATTTTAATACTTTAATTTGATTTAATTTTATTTAATTTTTACATTTTTCATATGATTATAAAAAAATAAAATATTTGGATGGTGATATAATATATTGTAATAGAGATCGATGATTTATTTATTTTGTAAGGTAAATAAATTTAAAAAATATAATTTTTTTTCAATAAGGTGTTTTCAATTGTTATGGTATTTAACAAATTCAACTTCTAAATAATTATTTACATATTTACATGATTTCAATAGGGTTAAAAGTTTGGGTAAGTTATGTCCTTTTAGCAATTTATAACTATGTACTAAGGGTAGTACATAGTTATAATATTAAAGTTATACTTTTGACACTTTTCACGTCAGCAAACAATGTCTGAAGAGAGAAAAAGAAATAAAACTTTAATATTATAACTATATAGTACACTTAGTACATAGTTATAAATTACTAAAAGTACATAAGTTACATCCTTCAAAAGGACAAATCATTTCCCCATCTCAATAATATCACAAGTCATAATTAAATTAAATATTATTATACGATAGCATAAATTTATGTATTTGTCACTTAGGGGCTGTTTGGTATGCGGATTTTTCTTGAAATGCTGGGAAAGAGGGATGGGAAAAATATTTTTCCACATTTGGTAAGAGGAAGAGTAAAATATTCCGAGGAATTTTTTTCTCCATCATTCCATTTTACACTACAGATTTCTAAAAGAAAATACCGTCTCACCGATAGTATTTTTTTCCCCACCACATGGGAAAATGATTAACAATTTTGTCAAACGAAAATGTCCTGAACTAGGTTATCAGCTGTGTGAAAAAATCTTGCACAGATACACCATTTTAATGGCGGTGAAAGCATCTGCCATTGGCATTAGATTTTCTTCGATCACTGATGGTCCTCAAAAGTTGAGGACCATTAAGTGTAAATTGTTCCACAAAACCCATGTTTGGTTATAAATCACTCCCTTCAACCTTCTTCTCTCCATATAGAGCAACTGTTTTGAATAGTGGACCGGAGCAATACCGAAAATGGAAATTAAGGTAGACCTGGAGCAATTTTAACATTATCTTTTTCACATATGACTATTGGGTTAGTTTGCTTTGTTCAGGACACCTAAGGCCCATCAGAAGGAACCACAAAATGAAGAGAGAAGAAGGAGTGTTGCGCAGAAAGGAAAAGAAAAACCTGTTGTAGTACAACAGCAGTCAAAGGAAGCAATGGGAAGCCGCCACGTCAGCCACAACAGAGAAGGTGGAGGTGCTACCTCTGCTACAGTACGAAAGCAAAGGAGTTGAGCAATAAAAATCAGCCACGTCAGCTGCAGCAGAAAGAGTGGAGGTGCCTCCCTGAATCCGATACTCCTACTCACAAAGGGAGCCAAAAAGCAAGGGGGACCATCTCCATTTAAGGCCAAGCTGGCAAAAAGCAAAGCTACCATTGGAGAGGATTTAAAAAAAGCACAACCCTTGATGAAAGGAACAATGGAGATCAAATGAAGAACCCTATAAAAGGAACAAGCAATCCTCATGAAAGGTGGATCAGCGCCCATCCTAGGACTCGTTATTTTTCTTTGTTTTTTCTTTTTTGTAAAAATGCTCACTAGGAGCTAACTTCCTCTAAGTAGGTGAGGGTTCCATAGAAGTAATCCCTTTTGTCTTAGGATAACTTTGTAAGGAACACATATTTTATAAATGAATTTTGAGTTGCTCTTTGGTTTAATTTATTGATTTTGTGAAACCCTTTGGGCTGGCAACCTCATCCCGGGACCACTCGGTTGATGAAACACTGACAAAGGCGTGTGGAGCATTATCAAGATCCTGGGGTAGTTTAGCCTGAAGAAAGGAGGGAGAAACACCTGGAATGGGGAGCACTGCCATGTGAATCCATGCTCTTTTGAGAAGGCAGCATGGTTTCCTTGCATATTACTCCAAGTACTATGGAGTAACGTGGATAGTAAGGCCTTACCCTCTGCTTACCTATAGCAAAACAAGGGAAGGAGCAAAATCCACTTATAAATTATGCTACCAAGCAGGGTTAACCAAAGGGATGAAAACATGGAACCCGTAACACCTACTTGACTTTTTCTGAAATTAATCTTAACTCAAACTTCTATCACAACCTTTTCCTCATGATAACTGAACTGTGTTTTACCAGCTGATGCTCTTACTTCCATTTCGTTGACTGCTCTTGAAGTTACTTAAATTGATGCATTTTTCTTCAATGACCGTGCTAAGTCATTCACTGCTCTCATCTGGTTCAGAATGGTTAACATTGTTTAACTAGCTTCCCAGAGATTGCTCTTCGTGAAGCTTAGCTGAGAATAGTACTTTCTTTTATTGCTCCATTTTACAAATTAAGTTTCCTTTAGCGCTTCTTACTTCACAACTGCTCCCTGAGGACGATAAATCTGGGGCTACAATACCCTATATTGCTTGACACGTACGCTTGCGTATAGTTGAAGAGGGTTGCTCTTAGTCAGAGTAGATTGCTCCTGTTGGCAATCCTGATTATTACTCTGCACTCTTGCTCTCTGAAAAGATATTCCCGAGCAGCTCTCGGTTCGACCAAGCAATTGGCGCCGTTGCCGAGGATCATTTGGCAAGAAAGGGCATTTTTAAGGAAACATTTTTTTTTTTTTTTTTTTTGATAACATTAAGGAAACATTTTTGTTGTTTAAATTGCAGTCTTTTTGTTTTGATAGACCTCCTCCATTTGTATGAGCACAGAACCTACAGAACTTGGACTGAAAATAGTACTTTTTGATCCAGAACCCGAGAGAACCTTCAGAAATAGAAGAAGAATTCAAAGGTTGAGAAACATTACAATGGAGGAGGTTGTAAACAATGATAACAATGGAAATCATAATCATAAGCCTGAACAAGGACCAAATGAAGGAAGAGGGCCATCATTGAATGATATGGCTGCTCCCTTCAGAAATGGTCCAGAACGAGGGTATGTTCCCCCTCCCTTGAATATCCCGAACTTTGAAATAAAACCTGCAATGTTCCAAATGATTATGAACGCTGGTCAGTTCCATGGACTGCCCATGGAAGACCTTCACAGTCATTTGGACAATTTCACTGAGATAGTTGATAATTTCAAAGTTCACGGTATTTCGGAAGAAAACATACGGATGCGGCTTTTTCCATTTTCCTTAGCTGGAAAAGCCAAAGAATGGAGGAGAACATTGCCCCCAAACTCCATCACCAGTTGGGAGCAATTGGCGGAACAGTTTGTTACCCGATTTTTCTCCCAAGCAAAACAAGCCCAAGTGAGGGCTTATATAGTTTCCTTTCAAATGTATGATGGAGAAAGTCTGTATGAAGCGTGGGAACACTTTAAAGAGTTGATACGAATTTGCCCGAATCATGGAGTTTCTGATTGGGGCATCATTCACACGTTCTATCATGGCTTAACCCCACCATTGAAAGCAACTGTTGATGCAGCTGCAGGAGGAGATCATTTGGATTTTACTTATCCAGAAACCTACCAGTTGTTGGAAAAACTTTCAAAAAAACATATTTTATGGCCTACCTCACGACACAGTGCTCCTAAGAAAGCAGGAGTTCTTGAGCTAAGCTCAGCTGATGCTCTTTCAGCACAAATGGCTTCGCTCCAGAACACTATAAAAAACTGGAAGCCCATGGAACAGAAAAAACCAACTGACCAACTTCTCTTGACTCAATCAAGTCAGAGTTGCCCCACTTGTGGATGTCCTCTTGAATATGAGGACTGTAACAATCTAGCTGTTGTATGCTATGCAGGAGGGTATGGCAACAACAACAGGAGCAATGACAACTATCAAGGGAACAATAACCGAGGCTGGAGGAATCAGAATAATGCTGGAGGTAGTGGAGGAAACTACCAGAACCGACCCCCGTATCCCAGGCAGAAACCAACAAAACTGGGATAAGGGTGAAGGGAAGTCCCAATCTTTTGAGACTTCTGTCAAGGAGTACATGAATCAGAACAGTGCAGCCATGCGAAACCTAGAAACCCAAATTGGTCAGCTAGCTGGAGCACTCAAGCAGAGGCAACCAGAGACACTCCCTAGTGACACAGAAAAGCCATCTCAGAATAACCAGGAGCATTGAAATGCTATAAGCCTACGAGATGGAAAGACTTTACCACCCCCAGATTTAGTGGCACGACCTCGGAAGCGCGAACCAGCAAAACAGCCCATAGGAAAGGAAGCCGAAAAAGCCACTGACCCTTCACACCTTGAAGCTCAGACAGGACCAGAAGAGAAGGTCCAGAGCAATGAGTCTGCTGAAATCAAACCGGATGACGCAACACCTGTAGCAGACCTTAGAGCAACAAAAGTCAGTGAACCAGTTTCAGTACCAACCTATGTTCCCCCATGCAAGAGAAGGAGTGAACCGATTGAGCCTCCTTTTCCACAGAGGTTGAAAAAGCAACACGAGGATAAGCAGTTTAGCCAGTTTCTCGACTTGATGAAACAACTTCACATAAACATTCCTCTAGTAGAAGCTCTGGAGCAAATGCCTTCGTATGCAAAATTTATGAAGGACATTTTGTCAAAAAGAAGAAAGATCGAAGAGTTTGAGACTGTAGCTCTCTCTCAACAATCGTGCAAGTACCTGACTAAAATTCCTCCCAAACTAAAAGATCCTGGTATATTCACCATCCCGTGTACAGTTGGGAAGAACTATCTTGGTCGGACACTTTGTGATCTGGGCTCAAGTGTAAATCTAATGCCAGCTTCCATCTTCAAGCAGCTTGACATAGGAGCAACAAGACCAACCACAGTCACTCTTCAACTTGCAGACCGATCTATAGCCAAGCCAGAAGGAAAAATTGAGAATGTCCTTGTCCAAGTAGACAAGTTCATTCTACCAGCTGACTTCATCATCCTAGATTGTGAAGCAGATCAAGAAGTTCCAATAATTCTGGGCAGATCATTCCTGGCTACCGGTGATGCTATCATAAATGTCAGAAAGGGCGAACTTTCCATGAGTGTAAACGGAGAAGAAGTGAAGTTTAATGTCATGAAAGCAATAAAATTTGATGAAGATAACACTGAGGAATGCTCTAGCATTTCGATCCTTGACTCGGTCATAAGAGATGAACAGCAGGAGCATTTGCAGCCAGAGATAGGCATGAAGGACTTTGAAGAGCTGGAAGAATACCTTGCATCCATCAGTTTCCACCAACCCCAGGGAAGGAAAGAAAGGGTCTTTGAATCCTTAAACCGATCAGAGCAGGAGCAAAGACCGAAACTGCCCATTAGGTCAAGTATTCTAGGTCTTGTATTCTCTATAAATAGAGAACCTTTTTGTACAGATGATTTACACAATTAATAATATATTTCTGATTACCCTTTTTCAAGTCATAGACTAATATTCTTTCATCCCTCTGGATGCAGAACCCTAAAAGCTTTACGAGATTAGTGTGCTGGAGTTTGGCCATGAGTTTAGCTTCATTCTTAAACTCTATCAACCCTTGTCCTGAACTTTTAGAAAGTCGCTTTATTGCTACCTCTTGTCGATCACTTAATGTTCCCTGAAAGTGTTACTAATTATATCAATTCCTGTCTAGACAATTTTAAATTTAATTATGCAGATATTACCTTATAAACAGGACCAAAACCACCCTCTCCTAACTTATTCACAGTTGAGAAATCGTTTGTGGCAGCAATTATGCTTTCGAATGTGAATATTTCGACCTCGTCGCTTGCCTTACCTCCAATCTCATGCAATAGGTTCTTCTGCATCACTTTTCTAGCCACTAGTGGGGTGACATGAAAATATAACTTATAAAGAGGCCTCAAAGTCTTAAAACTCATAGAACCGTATTTAATATTTATTATGTTGTAGTTACATTTTCCTTTGTATTTTCTCCACATGGCACGTCCTGAATAGAACATCATAGGTATTGAAAGGGCTGCTCCCACCCCAATGATGAGGCATATCCACCACCTGTTTAAGGTAACTGACAGGAAAATAATTTTGCACTCTGAAAAAGGTAGCTGAAACAATTTTAGATGGAGGTTAGTGGGTCTATGTCTAATGAATTCTTAATTTATATCCTAGCCAGGTACCTCAAAATACTTCCAAAGAATCAAGAGATATAACTAATTGATTTGGAGCCAATTATGAGTAACCGCATTTGTTTTTTTTATTGTGATTACTTCTTATTGATGATCATGTATATTCAGTCAATCTAAACCCTTTAATTTTTATTTTTCTCATTGGAAATCTTAGGTCAATAAAAAAAGGTTGAAAGAAAAGCAACCTTTTATTCAAAAACATAAATATAAATTTTTGTAGAAAACTGGTAAAACAAAATAACAGCCTTACAGGTTGGGAATCTGGCCGTACATTTGCATTTAATAACGTGGATTGTCCGTGCTTTTTCCCCAGAAGTAATGAATTTCGACCCTTCGCCCCATATCTGGCATCCAGTATTGTTAAAGTGATTTGTTGGGGCATATGCTTCACAGGAACAATTGTTCCTACACATGATCTCACAGCACTGTGTACCAATGCTCTCGTCCTCATAAACTTTGATACCATCCGTGGACGTTTTCTCACATGACCTCACAGAACAGTTGTGAACGTTTTCGACGGAAAATGAATTCCGTCGAAAACGGATGAATAAAATAAATGCAAAAGAAAGTAATTTTGTGAAGGTTTTCGACGAAAAATAGATTCGGTTGAACATTTTCGACGAAAAATAAATTCAGTCAAAAACGAATGAATAAAATAAATGGAAACGAAAATGATTATGTGAACGTTTTCGACAGAAAATGAATTCCGTCGAAAACGGATGAATAAAATAAATGCAAAAGAAAGTAATTTTGTGAAGGTTTTCGATGGAAAATAGATTCGGTTGAACATTTTCAACGAAAAATAAATTCAGTCAAAAATGAATGAATAAAATAAATGGAAAAGAAATTGATTATGTGAACGTTTTCGACGGAAAATGAATTCCGTCGAAAACAGGTGCATAAAATAAATGCAAAAGAAAGTAATTTTGTGAAGGTTTTCGACGAAAAATAGATTCGGTTGAAGATTTTCGACAGAAAATAAATTCCATTGAAAACGAATGAATAAAATAAATGGAAACGAAATTGATTTTGTGAACGTTTTCGACGGAAAATGAATTCCGTCGAAAATGGATGAATAAATATAAATGCAAAAGAAATTAATTTTGTGAAGTTTTTCGACGGAAAATGGATTCCGTCGAATATTTTTGACGAAAAACTAATTCCGTCGAAAACGGATGGATAAAATAAATTCAAAAGAAATTAATTTTGTGAAGATTTTCGACGAAAAATGGATTCCGTTGAAGATTTTCGACGAAAAATGAATTCTATCGAAAATGAATGAATAAAATAAATGCAAAAGAAATTGATTTTGTGAATGTTTTCAACGGAAAACAAATCCGTCGAAAATGGTTGAATAAAATAAATTCAAAAAAAAAATAATTTTGTGAACATTTTCGACGAAAAATGAAATCCGTCGAAAACAAATGAATAAAATAAATGGAAAAATAATTGATTTTTTGAACATTTTCGACGGAAAATGAATTCCGTCGAAAACGAATGAATAAATATAAATGCAAAAGAAATTAATTTGGTGAAGTTTTTCGACGGAAAATGGATTCTGTCGAAGATTTTTTAAGGAAAACTAATTCCGTCGAAAACGGATGAATAAAATAAATTCAAAAGAAATTAATTTTGTGAAGATTTTTGACGGAAAATGGATTCCGTGGAAGATTTTAGACGGAAAATGAATTCCGTCGAAAACGAATGAATAAAATAAATGCAAAAGAAATTGATTTTGTGAACGTTTTCGACGGAAAATGGAATCCGTCAAAAATGAATGAATAAAATAAATGGAAAAGTAATTGATTTAGTGAACGTTTTCGACGGAAAATGAATTCCGTCGAAAATGGATGAATAAATATAAATGCAAAAGAAATTAATTTTGTGAAGTTTTTCGATGGAAAATTGATTTTGTCGAAGAATTTTGACGGAAAACTAATTCCGTCGAAAACGGATGAATAAAATAAATGCAAAAGAAATTAATTTTTGTGAAGGTTTTCGACAAAAAATAGATTCTGCTGAAAATTTTCGACGGAAAATAAATTTCGTCGAAAACGAATGAATAAAATAAATGCAAAAGAAATTGATTTTGAGAACGTTTTCGACGGAAAATAAATCCGTCGAAAACGAATGAATAAAATAAATTCGAAAAAAATTAATTTTGTGAACATTTTCGACGGAAAATGGAATCCGTTGAAAATGAATGAATAAAATAAATGGAAAAGTAATTGATTTAGTGAACGTTTTCGACGGAAAATGAATTATGTCGAAAATGGATGAATAAATATAAATGCAAAAGAAATGAATTTTGTGAAGTTTTTCGACGGAAAATGGATTTCGTCGAAGATTTTTGACAGAAAACTAATTTCGTTGAAAACGATGCATAAAATAAATGCAAAAGAAATTAATTTTTGTGAAGGTTTTTGACGGAAAATAGATTCAGTTGAAGATTTTCGACGGAAAATGAATTCCGTCGAAAACGAATGAATAAAATAAATGGAAAAGTAATTGATTTTGTGAACATTTTCGACAGAAAACAATTCCATCGAAAATGGATGAATAATATAAAGGGAACGGACTGAGACGCATTTAATGCACCTGCTCCACTCATTTAATGCCTCTGTACACTTTGCAAGAAACGTGGATATAAAGTCTTCTTAAAGTAGAGGCGGTGCACCACTTAAGCATTAGGAAACGTGAAGAGCAGAGAATCAAGAGTTCTCATTAGCCAACGAAGAAAGCAAGGCATGGTAATTGAATGCAAAGAACGACTAATCATCAACCAACACTGTCCCATCCAGCAATTTGCACAGCTTCTACACTCTATTGCCACCGCCCCGTCCCTTCACGCAAGAACTCAGCTCCAAAGGATTTACAAGACTGCCACTTCTCTTCCACCTATAAATAGGACGTCCCACACACAAAAACATCATCGAATCCTGGAGGAATTGAAGTCCTAACGAAAGAGATCACCTAGTAGTAGTAGTAGCTTAGTTTTATTTAAGTTGTAACTGTAGTTAAGTGACAACCCCCTTTCTCTTCTCTGTATTTGCCCCTAAGACTCCTCACGAGCATCAAACCATCCTTCTCCATTTTTGTTTCTTTGTAAACTGTCTTTTAATTTAATATAAGTGTTTTTCTCTTCATTCCATTCGTTATCTCTGAACTGAATCTCGGGTCTATGTGATTTCAGTTCGGAATAATTCTGTTTAAAATATCAGCCATGAGATGAAATATCTGTGGAACGGTTAAACTGCAAAACTTTTAAAGAACTATTTTCAAAACTCTTGACTGAAGCTTTTTGTATTTATTTGGCTAAGTGAGCTATATTCATTGTGTATCAATGGAAATTGAACACATACTGAGAGAGGAACTTCTATAGCGAAGGGATTTACGAGACTTAGGGAAGAGAGATACAGTCAAGTCATTCCAGGAGAGGATGCTAGCAGTGTTGCCTCGGATAATGATTTGATCGTGCAGGCATCTGGTGGGGTTAACCGTAAAGGACAGGTATACGATTTAGGTACACTGGGAGGAGCATATAAGAAATGTTGACTCTCCAATAGGCTACCACTTGGAGTGTCCCAGCAAGAGCATGACAGGATGCGCACATTGATTATGCAGTTGCAGGGTACAGTTGCACAGCAAGAGGAGAGGGCTGCACAGCAAGAGGAGAAGGCTGCACAGAAAGAGGAGAGGGTTGCACAACAACAAGAGATGGCTGCACAACAGGAGAAAAAGGCTCAGCAACAGGATAGTTTCATGGTTATAATGCAGAGGCGAATGGACAAAATGGAGAAACTTTTGCGAAGGCTTCCTGAGGCATTTTTAGATACTGAGAATGACGACGAGACTCAGCCCCCGTCTCAAGACCTAGGTGATGACTCTGATCATGCAGGTCATCCACCAGTATGGCTTTTGTATCTTTGTTGGATGTATATGACATGGACTATTGTACATAGACTCTTTTGATTAGTATATGATAGGGACTTTTGTATATGTATGTCCCTTTTGATTAGCATATGTCTTGCACATTTATAGATATGTGACACTTTTGATTAGTATATGACAGAGACTTTTGTATATGTATGTCCCTTTTCATTAGTATATGTCTTGGATATTTATAGATATAAGACTGTTTTTATTTGTATATGACAGAGACTTTTGTATATGTATGTCCCTTTTGATTAACATATGTCTTGGACATTTATATATATAGCACTCTTTTGATTAGTATATGATAGAGACTTTTGTATATGTATGTCTCTTTTGATTAGTATGTCTTGGACATTTATTCATATAGGACTCTTTTGATTAGTATATGACAGGGACTTTTGTTTATGTATATATCTTGGACATTTATATATATAAGTCTCTTTTGATTTGTATATGGCAGAGACTTTTGTACACATAAATTATAGTAAGATCAAATAATTTTGATATGTTACTTTCATTATATTTATTTATCATGTGTGAAACATAAATTGGTATTAATTTTGTAGAGAAACAAATGAAAGTTCGCAATTTCGTCGAAAATTGAGACAAGATTTTTCGATGGAATTATATTCATTTTCTGTTGAAAATTTTCGCCGGAATTAGTTTTCTGTCGAAAATTATTACAAGATTTTTCGACGGAATTTAATTCATTTCCGTCGAAAAATTTCGACGGAATTTGTTTTCTGTCGAAAGTCATTACAAGATTTTTCGACGGAATTACATTCATTTCTGTCGAAAAATTTTGACGAAATTTGTTTTCCGTCAAAGTTCTTTACAAGATTTTTCGACGGAATTTCATTCATTTCCGTCGAAAAATTTCGACGGAATTTGTATTCTGTCGAAAATCATTACAAGATTTTTCGACGGAATTTCATTCATTTTCCGTCGAAAATTTTCGACAGAATTTATTTTTCGTCGAAAATTGAGACAATATTTTTTGACGGAATTTTGTTTATTTTCCGTCAAAAATTTTCGACGGAATTATTTTTCCGTCGAAACTTTCCACATTAAATATTTCGTCGAAATTTTCGTCGAAATTTTTCGACGGAATCTATTATTTCGTCGAAAAAAGTTGTTATCCACGAAGATATTTTCGACGGCTTCATTTCCGTCGAAAATTCCTTCAAAAATATCATTTTCGACAGAATTTTCAGTATTTTCGACGGAATTTTTGCGTCGAAAAAAAAAACATTTTCTAGTAGTAACTGTGGCCACTGTTTTTATCAGAGAACCTTGACCACAACATCACACCTCCATAATTTGGTGACTCCTTTACTGCTGGTAGTATCGTGGATATTAATACATCTGCTGGAACATAACCACTTGTAGCTGATGCTGAATCTGCTGGCAACCCCAGAAATATTTTTCCACCTTTTAATGATGTCGTCCATCGTTTCCATGAATTGACAAAGTTATCGAAATTTCCTTGTGTATAATCGCATGAAAGGTGGTTGTAGAATAGTACCCAAACATAATCAAAAAGGTCAGTATCAAGGGCCGTACCCCAGTGATCGAGGAATGAGCACTGGGGTGCTGCAGACAAGTACACATTTGTGTGTGACTTAAGGTAACGTGCAAGGTCATCCACGTATGGTATATCTTGGCCCATGAAAATATCAATACCATCTAATACTGCATCTCCAAGTAGACGTGATGACGTGGAGCCACCCAGAAAATTGTCCCATAAGTAATCTGAGACATTTTTAGCATCCGCAGAGGAAGCTAGATAGCTCACAGCTGCTCCTCCGATGGAGAGCATGACCTTGATCCCTTGCTTTTGACAATTCCTAATGTCTCTGCCAATTTTAGTGCACCCAATAGAAGAAGGGTCACAATGACCTGCGAGGTTGATACGAGGGATTTTGCCATATCCGAAGGTGGAAAGGAAGGCTATATTGACATAGGAGTATAATCCTGTTGCATATGTTTCATTAAGGCTTCCCTCATTGCCGTTTTGACCCCAGTAAATGCCAATATCCTCGGCTGCAGAGGGCTCAAGTACGAGGATGAGGAACCGCAATACGAGGAGGATCCTGGGCATCTTGCTGTGTTTCTGTTTTAGGTTCACTTCCACTTGTGACTTTGTAATATATCTATCTCACTCTAATAAAATCTGTGACCCCCAACATCACCTTCCACGCGTTTTGTTGTCCTTATGGTTACAATTCCATACACTCGTTTCGTGTTGGAATCTGTAAACCCAATGTTCCCCACAAGAGAACAAGAAGATAAAGACAAAGTGGTGTAAGAGTTGGAATCATCTAGAAGTCAACCCCGGAGAGTTGGGATCTTCTAAAAGTCAACCCTGGAGCTTCGTCAACAACGAATGAATTATTATCATTATTATACTATTATATAGAGCAAATATCATTTTAAGTCCTCCTCAATTAGTCTCTTATAAAAAAAAAATAATCTTGACTCTCGAGGTCCATGAGAAATTGAAAGTAAACTTGTTTAGTTGAAACTGTGGTCCCTCATAAATTCAAAAAAGATCTACATTAATTCCTCAAAAGAACTAAAATAGGTCCACTTTGAATTTTATAGGAATCAGGCGACTAATTTTTTTTTGTAAGAATTAAAACGAAGACCGAATTTTTTATTAGAAAAAAAAATATTTACTTATTATATATTTTGCTGAACTTAGAATCTAATATTAAAAAAATAGGGAGGCGGGACGTATCATACATAGCAAAGGACAGTACAATGTTTGAATTGTATTTTTAATTTTTAATTTTATTTTTAGAATAAAAATTAAAAAAATCAAATATTTATTTGATAAGGTTTATTTTATAAAAATAGTTTTAAAAAGTATAACTATTTTTTTTATTTTAGAATCAAACAGAACTTATAACTATTTATTTGATAAGTTAAAACTATTTTTTTCATGAAGATATTATATTACTCATTATCATCTGACACTGCTTTATGCAGAGAGTTCAAATGTGAATGAATTAGGCTTTGTGTGATGGGAAATTGACTAGTATTTGGTTAAAATTAATTATATTCGCGTATATATTTAAAAGGTATGGAGGATAAAGACTCTGGGAGGTTAAAGAAGCTTATTTGATGATTAAGAAAACTTGGTTAAGTGGAACTAAGGCTTAGGTATACGTTGAAAGACTGAGAACAAGTAACAGATGTTTTTAAAGTTATAAAAATGGATTTTGTGTATCAGTTAAGCTTTTTGTAACTCTATAATTATTTTAATATTAATTTTTTTCTTATATCATAAGGTTCATTTCATAATCAAAATATTTCATAATGAAAATATTTCATTTTCTAAAGAACATGTAAGCGTATAACTTACCCAACTACGTAAAAAAGACTAATGATAATAAATATTACGTGTATGTATATGGGGAGACGTGGCTTCTCTAAAATCTTCACATTGTATGTATATTTCGTAAAAAATAGAGTAAATACTCTTTTTAGTCCCTGGCAATATCTACGAAGCCCTTTTCAGTCCCTAGCAATAAAAAAGGGACAAATTGGTCCCTGAAATAACAAAAAAGAGGCCACGTTCATCCTTCTGTTAACTCTCACATAACGGCCCAACTAACGATGCACAGTTGGCACGTTAGTTTGCTTATGCGGCTTGGATGTGGGACACCGTGGAAGAGGAGATGACGACGTTTTGGTCCCTGTCAAAACCACGAGGGCCATTTTGGTCCCTGTCAAAATGCACGAGGACGTTTTTAGTCCCTGACAAAAAGCACGGGGCCCTTATTGGTCCCTAACCAGAGAAAAATAAGCACATGACTTCATTGCTTTTCTATGCAGTCCAATTTTGCAAAACAGAAGTGCATTACATCAGAAACAGAAGTGTAATCCAATTTTGCAAAACAGGAACATGACATTAAATTGGATTTGTATGCAGTCCAATTTGTTAAACCAGAAGACATGGATGTACAAGAACTACAACTACGTATATTAGTTAAAAAACATCAAAAATGGTAAACTTAAACATTCATCAACCCTGTGAAACATAATAGCTGGAATATGATTTGAGTATCATTATATTTGAAGACATGGATGTACAGTAGCATTACAAAATAAAGCCAACTGCCAGGAATTGAAAGAAAGGCCTCTAATACAATATGGCCAGAATTTACAAAAAAAACATTGACATAATAAGGCCTCCAAATACATAATGGCCAGAATTTTCAAAAAAAGTCAGTCACATAATAATAAACCCTTCTCAGTTGGCTCATGCACTACTCCCAGGTCATATACAGCAGCAGGTCATTTTCTTGAGGCAGGCTTTGGTGGCCTAAAACTAGGTGTGCTCATGAAGGCCAATAATCTGCTTCGTGTGCCACTGGTTGCTGCATTCATTGTTTCATTACTCAACAGCTCATTTTCCTGTTGTGGATTTGATAGAGGTGGGTTGTTTCCTCTCAAGTTGCCTTCATGTGGCTGAGAACTACCAACTACTGCAGTCTAGTCAACTGCCATGCATTGCAATTATCAACAATCATTTACCTGGCTTCTTCTCTGTATTTAAATATCAACAATCATGCAATTATCTTTTATAGAAAAATAAATAGTATAATTGTAATGCTACACTACTGAAGATATTGCTCGTAAATCGCATAACGCTATGTCTTATATAGACTAAGAGAATTAAAGCAGTTCATAGTATTCTAAAGATTGTAAAAGCTGTTTGCAAGAGCCAAGAATCCCTTTTAACAAAGTGGGAAGCTTAATTAGCATTGAAAAAGAAATGAATAATCGTTAATAAGGTCGAAACTTCAGTTAGAAACACAAACTTCATTGAAATAAAATGCCAACAAGGAGTATTTTACTTTGTGATGAAATTTAGTTTAATTACTTTGTGATGAACAAATGGATTGCACTCCTGTTTCTGATGTAACGCTCTTCTGCTTTGCAAAATTGGACTGCATAGAAAAGCAATGAAGTCATGTGCCTATTTTTCTCTGGTTAGGGACCAATAAGGGCCCCGTGCTTTTTGTCAGGGACTAAAAACGTCCTCGTGCATTTTGACAGGGACCAAAATGGCCCTCGTGGTTATGACAGGGACCAAAACGTCATCGTCTCGTCTTCCATGGTGTCCCACATCCAATTCGCGTCAGCAAACTAACGTGCCAACTGTGCACCGTTAGTTGGGCCGTTAGGTGGGAGTTAACGGAAGGATGAACGTGACCTCTTTTTTGTTATTTCAGGGACCAATTTGTCCCTTTTTTATTGCTAGGGACTGAAAAGGGCTTCGTGGATATTGCCAGGGACTAAAAAGGGTATTTACTCAAAAAATATTACATGCTTAACCAAACACTCACTAACGTATACTTGAGCCAGAATATCCTCTTATACAAAATTGGAAAACAGGTAGTTGAACAAGAACAACATTAATATAAAATTGGAAATATGAATCTATATATGTATGTTACTTTTGTTTTGGATTGAATGAAGAACAATTTTCACTGAACTAAATGCAAGAAAAGAACAAGGTTTTTGTTCTGATGGCCCCAACCAGTTAGTTCATTAAGACAGGCTTAATCCCTCTTCATTTATCCATGTCAACCTTCCTGACCATAGCTTACCAACTCTGCACTCTTTTTGCTCACATGTGACAAATTTCCCAATGTAAGACACCAAAATGTCCTACGTTGGGATGTTACCTTCCTTTGGTAGCCCTCCCAGATCCTCTAAATAGATGTTTTCACTTTACAGCTACAGTAGCAGTGACTGCCACCGAGATAACAGAAACCGAAAAGGGTGCTGCAGCAGCAATGCCTTAACACTTTCCAAGGAGAGTTGACCTAGCTCGCCTTCCTATATGAGCAAGGCATCCCCTCCCCCTATAAATACCCCTTCCATCACCAAGCAAGGGTATTTGATCTCTATATTTCGTTACCCTGCCGATTTCATGAGCCCACACTATAACTCAACACCCCCTCCCCCCGGTTTATTGTTGAACACCATATTTGGGACGTCATTGTCTAGCTTGGTCTCTCTCTACCTTTGCTAGTAACACTACCCCTGTAGTGACCTTTACCCCTCTCAAGGGTACATATTAGGCTTGCAGCTCTCAACGGTACATTGACGCTGTCTGTGAGAAACTGTAAACTCCAATTCTCATTCTTTTGCCAGAGATTCTAAGAAAACCAAAAACTTCATAACATTATAACCACACTTCATATGGCGGTCACCACCCGAAGAATACATCAACCCAGGGCGACCACTCCAGAAAGGCAATTCCAAACTGTCCATTCCAGCTCCCCACCGTCAATACAGTCAGCTTCAGCCCCCCGCGCGATTGCGACAACGCTCTCACCAGTTTAACTCACACCTTAAGTTCACCCATCCGCCGTTGATCCACACATTTATCACGCCATGGAAGAAATGCAAAGAGAAATCGCCCATCTTCGTCAAGTCACTCATGTGGACAATCCACCAATCTTACAAGAAGAATAGGGGGAGAGTTTCATCCCAGCTCCACCACCTCTCCACTACGTCATGCCCCCACAAATCCCAGCTGCCCAACATGCAGTCCCCATCATCCCTCAACAAGCACCCCAGCCTCAACAAAGCCAATTAGTCATCATCTACAATAACCATGGAGTGCCGATCATCACCAAATACCCACCAAGACCTTACACTCAACAAGTCGGAGCTCCCTACCCCATGCTGCCGTTGGCCGTTGTAATACCATTTTATGGCCACACGGTACCAGCAGATAATGCGTTCTCCCAACCTCAGGGATCCTATATGATCATGGGCATTCCACAACCACAGAATGACTTCATTGTCATTCTAGCCCCCTCCTACTTTGTCCATTATCAGCCCGAACCACAACAGCCTGCCCCTCATGTTTAACATTCTTCGACTCACCTCAATACCTCTTGGCTTTAAGGGACCATCCATCATTCCCACTTATGTTGGAGATTCTAATTTGTTTGAGTAAATTTAAAAGTTTGAGGCGTGATGATCCTCCATGGTCAAACCAACCTTCTTATGTGCCGAACTTTTCCCATATTACAAGGCGAACGAATGTTGACCTGGTACACAACGATGTCAACCAGAACCATCTCCTCTTGGGATGACCCGGAAAACAATTCCAAACTCAATTCGCAACAAGAAAACTGGTTCCAAAGTCCGTCCACTCACTCTAAAAGATCCGCAGCAACCTGTAGAATCTGTCATATCTTTCCTAGACCGCTTCGATAAAGAAGCCTTGCTCGTCAAGGAGCTTTCGCCTATGAGCTAGCCCACCACAAAGTCACCCTTGAAGAAGTGATGAAGAATGCTCAAGAGTTCATGAGAGTCGAAGAGTACAAAGGAAGCAGAATGGAAGAAAACCCTGGACACGACATGAAGAAAAAGTAGAAGATGATAAGAAGTTTCAGAAAGCCACCGCCAAGTACACCGGCTACGCCCTAGGGTGGACATCACATCCCCGCCCTACGCATAACATAATGCAGACTGATTACAAGGGCAATTATAAAAAAAATGCCTCACATTCTAAAGTACTGAGAGAATCTGTTGGGTATTACAAGTACCATCGCAGCAACAATCATAGCACAAAAGATTATCGATTGCTCAGAGAAGAGATTGATGAGCGAATCAAAGAAGGGGTGTCCAGGAAGTGCGGCACCCCTCCCCACAAAGAGACAGACGAAAGACGGCGACATCACCCTAAGCGTAGCCTATCCCCAGAAAACCGAAGACCAAGCAAAATTGGGTACGGGCCCCCTAGCCATGATCCTGACAAAAAAAATGACGTCTAGGGCACACAAGGAGGAACTGAATCCCGCCAACAAGAATGGTCGAGAAAGCGAAAGTTCTGTCGTCATCAAACATGGTTTAATCAATATGGTATCTGGAGGCTTGAGAAGAGGAGGTGAAAGTGAAAATGCCAGGAAGAGGAACCTTAAACATATTGCCAAAGGCAGAGATCCGCAGGCGCTCAAGAAGCCAAAAGTTGTGTGGGATAGGGACGAACTTGACGAGATTATCCCCAGGCATGATGACCCCCTCGTCATCCAAGCTATAATCGCCAACTTCGATGTCAACCGGGTATTTGTTGATCACGATAGTTCAGCTGATATACTCTTCTTGCCCTGCCTCAAAGCTTTAGGTTACAGTACAAAAGATTTGAAACCAGTCATTGGCGAGTTGTCAGGCTTCAATGCAACCATTACCAAGCCGCTCGGCATAATTGATATACGACTCTCGCTCGGAACGCCACCCACCTCCAGGTCCGCAAACGTACAATTCCTAGTACTCGATACCCCTTCTGCTCATAATGCCAACCTGGGCCGCCGAGTGTTTGTCGCCTTTGAAGTAAGCATTTCCCACCCTTACCGAGCTATGAAGTTTATAGCAAAGAACAACAAGGTGGAAATAGTCCAAGGAGACTAAACCATGGCTAGAAGTTGTTACAATATAAGCCTTCACCCACCCTCAATTGTTACATTTCAAGAAAAGAGCCAACCTAAAAAAGAGAATCTCGCCCAGTCAGAGAACTCCAACAAAGGAAAGAGTCATGAACATTGTTTCTTAGTAGAGTTCGATGCCAGAGATGACCCGCGAGTTGAACACTCTATGCCCACGACTGATGGAGCACTATAACGCATCATTTTGAGTGCGACTGACGAGCAGACAACAACCATAGGGTGACCATAACCCCAAACTGAAAGGAAGATTAATCAAGTTGCTCAGAGATAATAAGGATCTTTTCTCCTGGAAGCCATTGATGTGCTGATAAGTATTAAAGACACTATGTTTCTAGGATCAAAGATATGTTAAATAATGTTAAAAATGGTCAAGAACATAGTGTAAATTAAGTAAATGCAAAGAATTACAGTTTTAATATTTGAATATGATTCTGACTTCGTTTTGTGTTATTTTCAGGTTTAATATGACAAATTATAATTATGAAGAATTATTGAAGTTGGGAGATATGAAAGTCAAGAAGAATTGAAGAATTAAAGAAAAATCAATAATATTATATGCTCGCTCACTTGCTCGAACAAGCGAGAAATTGAGCGAGCTGATAAAATTACCTTGCTAGTTTGCTCGATCGAGCGAGCAATTGAGCGAGCGGCATCTTAAATGGAGGCCCATGGATATTTTCATTAAAAAGGACGAACTAGGGTTATTCCAATTATTCATCTGCGGCCAGAGACTTCTTGAGGGAGCAAAAGGAAGAGCTTTTGGATAGGAGAAGAAGGAAGGAAACATTAAGGCTTCATTGTGGATCATCTCTAATCAAGTTTTATCATGAACTTTCTTTACTTTTCATCTTTTGCTTTAGTTTTTATGAACATGATAGGCTAATTTCCTTTATGTAGTTAAGGTGAGACAGAACCAATGGATTCCTAACGCTGTTTAATTCTTGATGTAATTATTATCCGTATTTCAATTATGCAATTAATCTGTTTAAAACTTAGTCTTATTTATGATCTAATCAATCCTAAGTAAGCAGTAGATTCTTGAATGTTAATAGGCATATTACATTCTTGATTCTGATTGGTTAATTGCTAGAATTTGTATGTCCTAGGAATAGGTTTATAAATTCTATGACTTATGATTCTTGACCTTAATGTTTGCTCTGGAAAAAGGCTCTAAGGGGTTAGGGTCTTTGCCTAAAGTGAAGAACTAAAATCACCAAGGGATTGGGCGTTTAGTTAAATTAGAAAGAATCTTCAATAATTAATTTGAATGGTAATTACATGAAAGTTAGACTCATTAAGAAACTATTAGGAAAGTCGAATCCCTAGCTACACTTGTTCTTAATTAAAAGAAAATCGTTTTCTTGCATTCTTTGTTCTTGCATTTTGTTCTTGATTCTTAACATTAAAAATTAAAAAGACTTTCTTTAAAAATTCTGTTTTACAATTAAAATTAATATTCTCAACAAATTCATTTTAAGATCGATCCTACTTTAATCGCATAGATAAGTTAGTGATTGGTAATCAGTCCTCGTGGGATCGACAATCTTACTTTTAACACTTTATTACTTGTACGACTAGTGCATTTGCCAAAGTTGCAACATATGCCCGACATCGATCCAAAAGTCTGCTGCCATAGGTTATTTATTGACCCGAAAGCAAAACCAGTCACCTAGAAGAAAACAAAGTTTGGCCCTAATCGCCAGAAAATCATTGATGCAGAAGTAAAGAGACTCTATGATGTCGGTTTCATCAGAGAAATAAACTACACCACTTGGCTACCCAATCCGGTATTGGTAAAAAAACCCAGTTGGGCATGGAGGATGTGCGTTGACTAAACAGACCTGAACAAGGTATGCCCCTGATGCCTACACTTTCCCAAGCATCGACCAACTCGTAGACATCGCCTCCGGTTTAGAAATGCTATCCTTTATGGATGCATATTCCGGCTGCAACCAAATCTTGTTGCTCAAACAAGACGAAGACAAGATAACCTTCATCGTACAAAATGCAAACTACTGCTATGCCATAATGCCTTTTGGTCTGAAAAATGCTGGAGCTACCTATCAAAGAATAATGAACAAGGTGTTCAAAGACTTGATTAGCGATGTAATTGAAGTATACATCGATGATATGATCACCAAGTCTCGATCAATAGAAGATCACCTCCAACACCTTGAAAAAGTCTTTAACCGGTTGAGAGAGTATAACATGAGCCTAAACCCCAGCAAGTGCGCGTTTGGTGTACCGGTCGGGAAATTCCTTGATTTCATGTTAATCGAGAGAGGTATCGAAGTCAACTCAGAAAAATGCAAAGCAATTTTAGAAATGAAGAGTCCCTAGACAGTTAAAGAAGTACAACAACTGACAGGGGGGATCCTAACCCCCACCTCCTCTTTTCAGCCTGTTAAGGAAATGAGTTAGTTTCCAGTGGACCAACGAATGTGAAAAATTCTTTCAAGAGTTTAAAATTGTGTTTTCGTGCCCGTCCGTCCTCACCAAACCAGAAAGCGGTGAGACTCTATACTTATACCTCACTGTTGGTATTGAAGCCATAAGTGCAGCCCTTGTCAGAGAATCCAAAGAAGACGATCAGAGACCGGTCTACTTCGTCAGCAAAGTTTTGTAAGGCGCAGAGCTACATTATCAACTGATAGAAAAGGTAGCCCTTACCCTAATCTTTGCATCCTGGAGGCTAAGACCATATTTCCAATGCCACCCCATTGTAGTCCAAACCAATCAGCCACATCTTTTTCCTGCCTGGACAGAGTTTCATAACCAAACGAGTAGTGATCGAGCTTAAGCCCCCTACGACAGAGAACTCCTTCACGCACAGGTCCTCCAGGGCGCTTAAGCCCTCTAATAGGCGCTTAAGCCCCCTTATGAGCGCTTAAGCCTCCATTTGGACGCTTAAACTCCCTCCGATGGATAAATCCTCAAAAACTTTCTGTCTCAAAGCGCTTAAGCTCCCTCCATCTGTGCAAAACACTAATTTTTTCTATTTTCATGTATTTCTCTTGGGGACTTCCTATCCAATGTCATTACACTCAACAAACTTTACATAATCATTATACAATGTTTCAATGAATCACATACAATAATGTTCTTCAAAATAAATACATGCTAAGGAACTTAATATACCATATGACCAAAGTCCCTATCTAGATACATAAGGGCTATACAAAATACCAATTATCATATCCTAAGTCCAACATGTAAACATATATCAATGATACTTCCAAAATGTCTGATACATGGGAACTACCAAATCACATGCATAACCAAAAGAATGCAGCATCATCATGTATCTATCTAGCTCAAGTATGGCCACTTGCCACCAGAGGCTCCTGCAACATCTGTATCTAAAAGGGGTCCCCACAACACGGAATGAGATATATGAATATACCTCAGCAAACCAGGGGTCCTTAGAGCATCTCTCCACCCCATAGTTCATTCATAGTATAATAGCAATAACAATAAATAATGCAGTAAATACATATCCATGCAGTGTGTCAAACATCTCCAATAGACATCCCTCGAGCTCTCATGTTGTCCTAAGGATACTCAGATGCAAATAGTCCTACTGGCCAGCTAAATTACCAAGTAAGCATTACGCAACGTCTTGCAACTAACCCCACACTCAAGCTTGATCGTCTTGCATGGTTTACCCGTACTCTGGATTTACCATCTTGTGTGAAAAATACAACACATGCATATATATATAACAATGCATTATACCACTCTATTGTGGTTGCAACCACTACCCTTTCAGGGCTTGGTGAAATAATAAAGGGATCAATTCCCAAGGTTCAAAGGCTTACCTTAATTTGCTTCCCAATTCAACCTTTGTTCTTCACCAACTCAAACAATCAAGTTTTACAATTATTACCAATAATCTCACAAACAAACACCTACACAAAGGTGCAATGCAATCAATCTATTGCATCCAAGAATATATCAATATTCATCAATCAACAACCATATTCACACCACAATTAAGGCATGAACTTACCAATCCAAATGAGCTAATCAAGATCCATTGCTTCCTCCAATGGGTGGTCATTCAAAGTTGGTCCACTTGCCTCAATCTTAGCAACACAAGGGACAAAATCAATCATCCAATTCACTAATTGCTCAAAATGCTCAAACACTCACAAGCCCAAGCATGAATTTTCTAATATATTAAACAATAACCAAATGACTATCTAGACTAATTTCTACCGTTTATTTATCATTTCTAACAACTTGTACAATGGAATCAAGCAACAATCCAACTCAAACTCATACCAGCCACAAAACACTATTCATAATCTTCAACCCAAATGCAATCTCCATGGAAACAAGGTTTGAGAAGTGAATACTTACCCCAAAAGATCATACAACCAAGGAACTGTGGTCTCCTAAGCTCCTATGGGAGGAAATACCTTCAAACTCCTCCAAACATCAAGTAGGTCGAATTCTTGAGAAGGAGATATCCCTATCCACAAAGCTTCCAACTCCAAACCAAGCTTGGATTCACAATGAAGGAAATATTCTAAGCAATTTTGGCTTTGGAATGAGTTGATTTGATGGAGAATTAAGGGAGTTAGGGTTTGCGTTTGGAAAAGGATTCTCTATTCCTTTCACTCTCTCTTTAGCCGCGGGAAGAAGAAAAAAAAATGAGGTGAGTGGGTTTTTCTTTTCAATTAAAATAGGTTTGGTAAGTTCAACTGGGTAAAAATTTATCTATGTAGTCACCTTCATCCACTTTAAAACTTTTCCTAATAGACTAGAATATTTTTACAGTCATACTTTTATTTTTACATTTACATTCCAGGCAATTTTTCCTACACACATTTTGTAATATCCCGAGCGCTGACGAGGACGGAGAGTGATCGCCGGTGCGAAAGGGCATGGACAAGGAGCTGCTCCTGACAGGCTTCTAGCGGGGGGTTACATGAATGAATCGAATCGACACCTGAAAGAGAGGGATTCCAAAGACTGTGCAGGTATGAGACTGCACAGTTTAAGATAGCTTATAAGAATTAATTGGAACTACCTATACTAACAAGATGCATCTACTTTTCGGTAGCTCAGAATGGAAGAACTCCATAGTTAAGCGTGATCTCTTAGGAAATTTTCCCGAAAAGTGTGCGAGTGAGGAAAAAGTACACTGGGCGTTACACATTTTTACCCCAACACACTGACTATACTTTTAACCCCAAAGTAACCTTAATTTATTTATTTAAGCCTTTTACTCAATTCAACCCAACATTGTATGATTAAATATTTAATCCACGCTATTTTCTAATTAAACAGGTTAGGAATATTATAGTATTTATCTTATATACTTGAGAGATATATAAAATATGTATAAAAGAGAAATATAAAATGAAATAAAATTAGTTGTAATGATCAAAATAATAATATTTAAATAAATATAAAATAATGTGTATATACTACATATAAAACTAATATTATTCATTAAAAAAAAAGTGTTAGTAGTATTGTACAATGTTATGCACTTACCCTTGGATTTTTCTTCTATAATATTAGTAGTATTTGTTGGATTATCTCGGATGAAGTAAATTGGCCTCCCACTAGGAGATGCATTAAAGTCAGCGCCGTTATCCCACATCTCACGGAAAAATTTATAATGTACCCAAACCACCTGGAGCCTTTTATTGAAAAATTGACACCTGATTTAAAATATGGGAAAAGTGTCTATCATTTAAAATTACACAACTTACATCCTTTCACTCTCACAAAGAGGTGGGACCACACCTTTATTTTTTTTTGTTAACTCTCTCTCCTCCTTTATCTAAATGACACAACTTTACATCCTTTAAAATTATACACACTTTTCCCTTAAAATATTTTTAATCTCTTTCCTCACTCCTTTCTTCTCGCATTTTTCTCTCCTTACTCCTTCGCCCATTGAATACTGGGTGATCAGGAGCACTAAATATGCTCTACAATATTATCGTCCGTTGTGGGGGAAAAGAAGAAACATGAGCAACTAGTGAAGCATATAACGCCGCAATCATAAAGAGCAATAATTTCCATTCTGTCGCCCTTGTAACCGAGTGTAGACATGTAACCATGCTTGAAGTCCCCCAATGACAAATAAGCATCTGGGTTCCTCACTTGGGAGGTTTAAGAATAGGCACACATCCTCTAACAGGTGCATTGCACGAGACAGAAGCTCCACCAGTGAGTTGACCCTGGAAATCTAAAATACTAGGATCTTCATGAGCCGAAGATGCCACATAAATGAAGCTAGTTTCGTTTTCATTTGAAATATATGCAAAATAGTGATCCTTTTTGGCAGATGTCAATATTAAATTTGGAAACTGTACGATTGCTCAAATACATAACCAACAAATAAAACAACTATTTAACAATGTCGTGAAAACTTGTGGAGAAAGAGAACAATCTTGTATGAAAATTTTTACTAAACTTCATTGCTTCTCAAATTCTATGTTTTTTCAAACAATATACTAGACTATTTATAGGCTATATTTTGCCTTTCTAAAACTACAACACTAAATAACCATAAACCACAATTAAAGCCAAACTTAATAACAAAACATAACAACTCGCTCTTTACTTTCAAAACTCCTAAAATAAATGCTAAACTTATGACTCATAAACTATTCATAACTAACAAATTTAAAACCATTAAAAATTAAACTGACTTAAACTCATTAAAAATTAAACTGACATTTAACGTTTACTTAACAAAACTCCCCCGTAAACTTAAATGCTTCTCCCATCCTTCATGCCGATCAATTTCTTGCAGTTGTCGAGAAATACCATCTCGAGCGGTTTCGTGAAGATATCCGCGACTTGGTCCCGACTTGCCACGTGCACTAATTCCACACTTCCTTCATTTACATGATCTCGAATGAAGTGAAAACGAATGTCGATGTGCTTGCTTCTCTCATGATTCACCGGGTTCTTTGCCAACTCAATTGCTGATTTATTGTCAATTCGTATCACAGTTGCACTGAGTTGTTGTTGCCCCAACTTCCCCAACAGATTTCTGAGCCATATCGCATGACATACACACCAAGATGCTGCCACATACTCAGCTTCACATGTCGAGAGCGTCACAATTGGTTGCTTCTTTGAAACCTAAGTAAACGCTGTGTTACCCATAAAGAATACATATCCCGACGTGCTTTTTTGATCATCTAAGTCTCCACACCAATCACTGTCAGAGTACCCAATCAACTTATAATCATCCGACCTCGAGTAGTATAACCCGAGTGACACCGTTCCCTGAACATACCTTAGGATCCGCTTCAATGCCTTCCAATGTGAATAGTCTGGCTCCTCCATGAACTGACTTACAATGCCAACACTTAACAAGAGACTCAGCCTTGTACATGTGAGATAGCGAAGACTTCCCACCAAACTCTGGTATTTTCTTGCATCGACTCGTTCTCCTCCATTAAACTTCGAGAGTTTTGCACCAGGTTCCATCGGAGTTGAAACCGGGTTGCAACTTTTCATTTTGAACTTCTTGAAAATCTCTTTTTCATATACCTCCTGAGACACAAAGATACCCAACTCACCTTGTCTTACCTCTTGTCCAAGGAAAAACTTCATCAAACCGAGATCCGTCATCTCGAACTCCCTTGTCATTGTGCTCTTAAACTCTTGTATCATCTCATCATTGTTCCCATAAAAATAAGGTCATCAACATAAAGAGCCATAAATAACATATTAGGTCCACTCTTCTTCACAAAAAGAGCATGTTCATCGGGACATTGTTGGAACCAGTTCTCCTTAAAGTAAGTATCAATACGAGTATTCCATGCCTGCGGTGCTTGCTTCAACCCGTAAAGTGCCTTCTTCAATCTCAGCACCTTCTTCTCTTCTCCGACCTTCATGTACCCCAGTGGTTGTTCGACATAGACTTCTTCTTCGAGCACACCATTCAAGAATGCTGACTTGACATCCATTTGAAATATCGTCCATTTGAATTGAGCCGCTTGTGAAAAGAGTAATCAGATTGTCTCCATTCTAGCAACGGGAGCAAACACCTCGTCATAGTCGATCCCCGCCTTTTGCTTGTATCCCCATTTGTGTGAAGTGAAGTTCAAGAGAAAGATGAATGCTCAAAAAACTAACAAGGTGTACCTCACTTGTCGAATCATATAGGTCTTGCAAACTTCTCATTCTTAGTTGTTGTGGTTCATCATCAGAAATTTCAGAACTTGTCGGGATGGCTATTGTTGTATGTGCCATCAAAAAAACACCTCCTTCTTTCGTTTCTCCTTCCGTGGCTAGGTTGAAAGTCTCTTCCACCTTTTTCTCATCTTGGCTATCTCTTACGAAATGTCCAATCTTGCCACAATTCTAACATTTATCCGAGTTACAATCTTTTGCATAGTGACCATACTTGCCACACTTGTAGCACTCAATGTTGGAGTAATACGACCGACCTCCTTTTCCACGACCTCGTCCTCTTCCACGCCAGTTCTGTTGGCTAAATTGTCCTTTCTCCTCACTCTGTCTTTCTTGACCACGACCTCTACCACCACGACCATTTCCACGTCCCCCACGGCCACGACCTTTACCTCGGAAGTTTTGATAATAGAGGGCCTTCTCGTCTTTGATTGACGCCTTGGTTTGAAGCACTTGCTCAAGTGTCTCCTCCTCCTTCTTCTTCTTACGTTGTTCATGTGCCTCAAGGGAACCAGCGAGCTCTTCAATAGTGAGCGTTGCTAGATCCTTTGATTCTTCTATGGCACATACGACATTCTCAAAATTGTTGGTTAAAGATCTCAAGATCTTTTCCACCACTCTCGCTTCGGGCAACGCTATGGGTTCACCACGGTTTGAACACGCGTGATGAAGTCGGACACACCTTCCGTCTCCTTTATCTTCATTCCTTCCAACTCGCCGCGGAGGGTTTGAAGTCGGACTTGCATAACACTGTCAGCTCCTTTGTAGACATTTGTCAAAATATCCCACGCTTCTTTTGAAGTTGTAGCACTCGCAATCTTCTCAAAGCTTGACTCGTCAGCAGCTCGGAATAGCATGTACAATGTCGCCTTGTCTTTTGATCGCGTCTTTTTCAACGCCTTATTTTGAGCTGCCGTATAACCTGTGATAGATGCCGGTTATGTGAAACCATCTTGAACTACCTCCCAACTATCTTGTGATCCAAGAAGAGCTTTCATTTGGATGCTCCAATTCTCATAGTTTACCTTCGTTAGATGGGGCAACAACATATTACTGGTCACAACCTCCATTGGCTCTAATACCAATTTGTAGGATCGCTCAAATACAGAACCAACAAATAAAACAACTATTTAACAATGTCGTGAGAACTTGTGGAGAAAGAGAACAATCTTGTATGAAAAATTTTACTAAACTTCGTTGCTTCTCAATTCTATGTTTTTTCAAACAATATACTAGACTATTTATAGGCTATATTTTGCCTTTCTAAAACTGCAACACTAAATAGCCATAAACCATAATTAAAGCCAAACTTAATAACAAAACATAACAACTGACTCTTTACTTTCAAAACTCCTAAAATAAATGCTAAAATCATGACTCATAAATTATCCATAACTGACAAATTTAAAACCATTAAAAATTAAACTGACTGCTGAATCAAACCCATTAAAAATTAACAGAAACCTCCCTTGTTCATTCGGTGGTCCACTTTTACAAAAGATGTTCCCTTTCCACCAAATGACCAATTGTTTTGTATCACGTGGGTCCACCCCAAGAGTGAAGGAACCCAAAACTGGCGTGTTTGGTCCTACCCATGATGTTAGGTTCCATAATCGTCACCATACTCTAAGACGGCGAAAAGCATCACTGTGATTCCTTTGTTTTGGAATTACAACGTATCAGTAATTTATTTATTTATTTTACAGAGTCGGAGTTATCAAGCATATGTATATATAATATGGGTTACCATGTCTCAACAAGTACAATTCAGAAATTGAGAATTTATCACTTAAGAATTTAAAGTGGAAGTCTGCGAATGCAATCATCTAGTTGGGTACACGATGTTACAATTATCTTCCATAAATACTAGTATTTGTTACATCATTTAAGGAATGATGTTCTTGCTTGCTGTAAGGAAGTTCTGACACTTCCACAACCACATTGATGAAGAATGCTGGCTGCTTTGGTTGGGAAAGTTGTATTGTATCATTTGATAGAAAAGAAACAATATCTAACATTGTAGGTCTATCTGTTGCTTGATCTTGTACACACAAGAGCCCGATATGAATGCATCTTAAAACTTCATTTTGAGTATTTAATTCATTTAATGCTGGCTCTACTAGCTCGAGAGCTCTACCTTCATTCCAAAGCTCCCATGCCTACAAGAGTCCCAGCATCCACACCAAACAACAATATATTCTTAACCATCGCTAATGATAAAGTATAACTTTTAGGCACAATTGATTTGAGAAACTTACATATCCTATGAGGTTGAGTGGGCGATCCGAATGATGGCGACTATGATTCTTCTTGCCACTAAGAATCTCTAATAGCAGAACACCAAAGCTAAATACATCTGTCTTGATAGACACAACACCCCTTATTATCTCTGGAGCCATGTAGCCACTGCAAAGATAGCAACATGAACAAATGTTTGCATAAAGATAAATAAAAACAGAAGATTTTGAAAATGCATGATCATTTATAAACTTACTATGTACCAACAACTCTAGTAGTATTTTCTTCTGATATTCTTTGACCAAATATTCGAGCCATGCCAAAGTCAGATATTTTAGGATTCATCTCTTCGTCAAGTAATATATTGCCAGCTTTCAGGTCCCGATGTATCACCGTTAGTCTTGAATACTTGTGAAGATAAAGAAGTCCTTGAGCTATGCCTCCAATGATGTTCAAGCGTTTGTCCCAGTCTAGCAAACTCTTTCTAGTTGAATCTATTTTGATAGAAGGATTCTAATTAATATGCTATATGCTAACGTTTGACAGATTCTTACTTTTGTTAATATAAAAGAAAGCCTACCAAAGAGGTAGAAATCTAAGCTCTTGTTAGACATGTACTCATAGACTAATATTCTTTCATCCCTCTGGATGCAGAACCCTAAAAGCTTTACGAGATTAGTGTGCTGGAGTTTGGCCATGAGTTTAGCTTCATTCTTAAACTCTATCAGCCCTTGTCCTGAACTTTTAGAAAGTCGCTTCATTGCGACCTCTTGCCGATCACTTAATGTTCCCTGAAAGTGTTACTATATCAATTCCTGTCTAGACAGTTTCCAATTTAAGTAAGCAGAACTTACCTTATAAACAGGACCAAAACCACCCTCTCCGAGCTTATTCGCAGCTGAGAAATTGTTTGTGGCAGCAATTATGCTTTCGAATGTGAATACTTCCACCTCATTGCTTGACTTTTCCTTTTTCTTACTTTTTCTGGCTTTGCCGTACACCATCGAAAGCATTGCATTACCTCCAATCTCATGCAATAGGTTCTTCTCCATCACTTTTCTAGCCTCTAGTGGGGTGACATGAAAATATAACATAAAGAGGCCTTAGACCCCGTTTGTTTCATCTCCTAAAAAAAAAGTAACTTTTACCTCTTTTTTATTTTAGAAGTATTTTTTATAAAAGTTAAAGTTATTTATATTTTTATAAAAATATTTAGCTTTTGACTTCTGCTTTTTTTAAAAGTTAAAAATTTTAGCTTTAAAAAAAAAAGTAAGTTTTTAACTTTTTTTGTGACTTCTGCTTTTCTTAAAAGCAGACATCCAAACAAACTAAAAACGAGAAGTGTTTTTTTTCTTTAAAAAAAAAGCTTTTGAAGAAAAAAAAAAAACTCATCCAAATGAACCCTTAAAGTCTTAAAACTCATAGAACCGTATTTAATATTTATTATGTCGTAGTTACCTTTTGCTTTGTATTTTCTCCACATGGCACGGCCTGAGTAGAGCATCGTAGGTATTGCAAGGGCAGCTACTCCCACCCCAATGATGAGCCATATCCACCACCTGTTTACTGTAACAGACAGGAAAATAATTTTACACTCTGAAAAAGGTTTCTGAAACAATTTTAGATGGAGGTTAGAGGGTTTATATGACTAATGAATTCTTAATTTATATCCTTGCCAGGTACCTGAAAATACTTCCAAAGAATCAAGAGATATAACCAATTGTTTAGGAGCCAATTATGAGTAACCTGTATTTGTTATTTATTGTGATTACTTCTCCTTATTGATGATCAAGTATATTCAGTCAATCTGAACCCTTTTCTTTTTTATTTTTCTCATTGGAAATCTTAGGGCAATAAAAAAGGTTGAAAGAAAACCAACCTTTTCTTCAAAAATATAAATATAAAATTTTGAAGAAAACCGGTAAATCAAAATAACAGCCTTACAGGTTGGGAATCTGGACATACCTTTGTGGTTAATAAAGTAGATTGATTGAGCATTTTCCCCAGAAGCTCTAATGAATTTCGTTCCTTCGCCCCATATCTGGCATCCAGTATTGCTAATGTGATTTGTTGGGGCATACGCTTCACAGGAACAGTTGTTCCTACATACGATCTCACAGCACTCTGTACCAATGCTCTGGCCATCATAAACTTTGATACCATCCGCGGACATGTGACCTAAACGTTCCACGAAGCCGCTGTAGCGGCTTCTGCATTTGGGAAGGCTTTGCTGTGTGCAAAGAGGACTTACTTGAATGTTGGTACTGTAGCCACTACTTTTATCGGAGAACCTTGACCACAACATCACACCTCCATAATTTGGTGACTCCTTTACTGCTGGTAATATCGTGGATAGTAATACATCTGCTGGAACATAACCACTTGTAGCTGATGCTGAATCTGCTGGTAACCCCAGAAATATTTTCCCCACTTTTAATGATTTCGTCCATTGTTTCCAAGTATACACCAAGTTATTGGAATTTCCTTGGGTATACTCGCATGCAGGATTGTTGTAGAATAGTACCCAAACATAGTCAAAAAGGCCAGTATCGAGGGCCTTACCCAAGGGTGCAGAAGGAAATGTGCACTTAGGTGCTGCAGACAAGTACACAGTTTGATTTGCTGTTCCTGAGTGTGACTTAAGGTAACGCACAAGGTCCTCCACGTATGGTATATTCTGCTCTATGTCAAAATCAATACCATCTAATATTGCATCGCCAAGTGGGCGTGATGGCGAGGAACCACCCAGGAAATTGTCCCACAAATAATCTGAGACATTTTTAGCATCCGCTGAGGAAGCTAGCCAATATATCGCAAAACCTCCTCCAATGGAGAGCATCACCTTAATCCCATGCTTTTGACAATTCCTAATGTCTCTACCAATTTGAGTGCACCCATTAGAAGAAGGGTCACAATGACCTGGGAGGTTGATTAGAGGGGTTTGGCCATTCCCAAAGGTGGAAAGGAAGGCTAGATTGACATAGGAGTATAATCCCGTTGCACATGTTTCACTAAGGCTTCCCTCATTGACGTTTTGACCCCAGTAAACGCCAATATCCTCGGCTTCAGAGGACTCAAGTACGAGGATGAGGCACAACAATAAGAGGAGGATTCTGGGCATCTTGCTCTGTTTCTGCTAGGTTCACCCCCACTATGGTACATACGACGTTTTGTACACCGACGATACGTACGACTTCCATTTAAAAAATTACACTTGCATTTATTTTTATTTTTTCATCCTATTCCGAGAAGATGGGGCATTTTTATATAGTGTCCTAAAGACTTTGCGTAGCTATTTCGCTCTAGTAAATAAAATCTGTGGCCCCCAACATCACATTCCACGCGTTTTGTTGTCCTTATGGAGGAAGATCTTTCCACGCTCTCTCTGTCTCACTAACCTTTTGAGTTTGACCTTGATACAGTAATCATTGACTGATGATCACCTTAAGGCTTAAACACTGCACATTTAGTCTTTCTGTCACAATATTAATAATATAATATGAGTTAGTCTTGGATATAAGTTAATTCTGCTCTTATTATAAATAATATCACAATTAATTTATTTCGATATTACAATTAATACCTTTAGTTATATAAATATCTTTCTAATCTTTTTTAATGTTTATATTTATACATATTATATATTTTTGTACTTTTAAATAATTATCTTTTTTTCTTCTTCAAATAAGTATTTAAGAAAAATGGCGAATAATATCTAATTTTAGTGTAATAATAAGTTTTAATTAGTTATTATTTTATTTCATAATTTCATGCAATGTACTAGTGCTAATATGATTTTATGCAAATTATATGAATTCCCGCGGCCTATTTATTTAGTGCTGATTATGTGATGTTTGTCAATTGGAAAAGAAGACATAATAAGTGGAATTGAGAAGAGAGAGTCTCCACGGTAACTAAATTTACGTGATGAAAAAAATAAATAAAATCATCTTTTAGTAAATAATTTTAAAATTTTGTAAAATCTCAATTTTTAACCGCCACACACCAAGAAATAAATTTTTTTAAATTTTGCTTATCCACGTGATGAATCATTGTAGTTCTGAGACAACTTCAAATCACCACCAAGGGCACAAAATTATGGATACCGTATGGCTATTTTCAGAATGGTTTCCACATGATCACGAACAAATCTCTGGTACTACTGTAGCACTAAAGATTCAGTACATTCCACCAATAAAAATATTACATGTTAGCTAAAGTTTTATTTTCTCTGACAATTTTTTTCTCTCTCCTATGATGTGTAATGCTTTCATTGATGATATGCACTGAATCTTGGTGTAACAGTAACACCAAAAATTTATTCCAGGATCACACCCTTGTTCAATTTTGGACGTGCATTCATCACCTCAGTTGATGTTAGGGCGTTTATCTACCTATTGGGAGAAAGCAACATGTTGAGAGAAATCCCAAGTTCGCAACAATGAGGGCTTATATTGCTTTCCTAATAACTATAATACACAAGCCCTACTTACTAGTTCAATCCTAATAACTCGTATTGCTTTTTCCTTTTAAGTATCTCAATATGTTTGAAGATAAACAAGACCTGATGCTATTCCTTGAATGATGCCAAGTGGTCTCTTCCAATCCAACAAAAGTTTATGGTTGGAATCCGTACCAGATAGTGGAGAGTTGACAAGTATGAACATCCTATTTTGACGAATGCTGCTTTGATTTCAATGTTTTTTTATGTTATTTTTCTGAAAAAAAATGAAAATGAAAATGAAAAAGAAGAAGGAAGTAAAGCAAAAAAAATGATTTCTCTTATTTTTATTTACTTTCTTTTTATTTTTGCAATTAAAAGAATAAAAAACTGACCACGGAATAGTTGTTATTATCTTCTTCTTTTCTTAGGTTTTCCCTTGTTTTTATTCCACTGAAAGTTGGCATTTTGTGGGCAAGTAACAAGGGCTCTTTCGACCAAGACAAAAGCACAATCGAACCCTGGAACGCTGACACGTTAATTTTAAAAAATGTTATATTTTGATATGTTGTGACGCGTTTTGATATTAAATAATATTTTTAATATATATAATATAATTTATATTTAATACATATAATAGTCCATAATAAGTCATATAACCAATCAAATATTCAAATTTCATAACATAAATATAAATAAATAAAAAATTCATACCTTGTTAATTTTTCATGTCAAATTTCATAACAAAAAAAATTGATTTATAAATTATTTTTTTTATGTTTAGTTAATAAAATAAAATTCCTCACCAAAAAAAATAAAATAAAATAAAATTAAGACTTAAAAAAAATGTGTCGAAGCGTAGACCGCGTGTCGTAAAAAGTTGACTCTGTGTCGGAAAAACGTGTCGGAGAGTTGACCGTGTATCCCAAAATATTGACCGCATGTCAAAATGTGTCGGTGTCCGATACGCATTTTTTACAAAAATTAAACATGAGAAGTATAATAACTTACACACGTGAAATGATTAATTATTTTTTTTTGATAACATTAAGGAGCGAACCCCAAACAAAGACAAACAAACAACCAGAAACAAAAACAACTATCCAGGGTCTATATCCCTACAAGAGGAAATTCCCTGAAGATCGTGATCAAATAACTGAGCAAGGTGAAACGGCATAACTCTATGACTCCAGAATCCAGTATCTTTGTGAAGAGCAGACTTGGCTAACCAATCTGCACAGGAATTAGCTTCTCTTGGAATATGAGAAAGCGTTACCTCTCAATCCTGACCGATGAGTGCTTGTATCTTAACCATTATACGAGGCTGACAAGATGCAATGCAATCAGCAAGCAAAGAGAATACTTCAGAAGCATCTCCTTCTAGTTCCACCTTCTTAAATCCCAGTTGCCAAACCAATTCCAGACCTTTTAGAGTTCCCAAAAGCTCCGCCATTAAAGGAGTGCAAGCACCAATATGATACTCAAAGCCTCCCAACCAAGAGCCATCATCAGATCTGATAATCTCACCACAAGCAGCCACCTCAGTATTCCTTTCAACTGCCCCATCAATATTAATCTTCACCCAATTTAGCCTTGGAGGTTTCCATAAACTCATACGAATTGGATGAATGCTAGTAATAGCCATAGCCTTCCTACCCATGCAGTTACGCACCTCCTCTATATACATAGCAATTATGTGCGTTCCATGGGTTGGATGCTTGAAGTTAGTATCATGGACACTTTTGTTCCTCCATCCCCAAATGAACCAGCAAGAGATAAAAAAGACATCACGCCAATCATCTGAATTACTTTGATTCCAAGCTTTTGAGATATTATTTTCAACCCAATCTCTAAGATCCAAGCTGTAGAATAAGCTTTGCCAATTAGCTGAAACCAGAGAATTCCAAACACTTCTAGCATGCTTACAATCTCTTAGAACATGAAGATTTGTTTCCAACTCACCAGGACACATTTTACAATGACCAGATTCCCCACTCCATCTAGATGTGCAGTCTTTAGTAAGAAGGCGGCCATGCATTATGATCCACATCCAAGATTTAACA